GATGCGCTGCTGGGGTGCAGGAGCCGCATTACAGCCCTCGGAATACGGAAGAGGACTGAGGGGAGTCCTGGCACCGGGGTCACCTCTGAGGGGGGGCAGGGAGCGACTCCCCAGCCTGCGTGTGCCTGGGCGGGGAGGGGGCTGTGCCTGCCTCGGCTGCGGGAGGTTCCCCTGCCCCCGTGCCAGGCAGCCAGGCTTCAGGACGGGGAAGGGGCACCCTGCCAGGTCCCTGTGGGAGCTGGTCAGGGAAGAGAGATGTGTGCCTGCGTTGTGATTGAAGAGAACACAGAATCGTGTTAGTGGTTTTATTTGTGAGGCTGCGAGGGATCGCCTGGGGCGTTTAGGTCGCTGCAGCCGTGGCAAGCCCAGAGACAAGTCCTGACCCCGTGTCAGGGGGCACCGCCTCAGTTTCCCGGCACTGCCGTCCCCCGACCGCCTTTCCCCCCACGCCGTGTGGCAACAGCGGTGCTGTACCAATCCCTTGCGTGCTGCCCGAGGAAAAATAAAACAGTGCGGGAGCCTCTGCACTGCCAAGGAATGAAAAATACTGGAAGTGGTTGTAGCTCACTGTGCTCCTTGACACGGGGGCGACGCAAGGAAACTTCCAAAATTCCTCACAGATGCCAATTTTACCCCACATATATGAACATAATGTGTCAGGTGAGGTCTGAGCCGGAGAGATGTGTCACTTGCGATGTCAGTGTGCGCTGACATGGATGGATTTGCTGGACTTGATGATCTTAAAAGGTCCCTTCCAGCCTTGATGATTCTGTGATTCACTGCTGTGACGATTAGCTGTGGTAAGTGTAGTGGCTCAAAGGAAGGCAAGGAAGCTGGGAGCCAGTTGGTGTAACCAAAGGTAGAGGAATTCACTCAGTGTTCCTGCAAGCTTGCTACAGGATTCTTTTGCACATGGGTGTAACTGCAGTAAATACTGTGATAGAAATGGATTCCATTCCTTTCAAATGACACTTGTGAGAGCTGAAAACTGCACTGCATTACAAGTATCTGGAATGAGAGCTGTGTGTCATTTATGAAAGATTAAGACATGAACATAATCATAAGGTGCAAGCTATAAAAGACAGCATTTTTTCTATCTCATAAAGTCCTTTATGTATACATTTCTGAATTCATGGGATGCCCTTCTTACTATTTCATCAGATGTCCAGACAAGCCTCTTCTCCCTTGGCATCTGAACACCTTATGCAATAAGCATGTCATAAGCTTTGGAAGTTTCAGCCACAAGCATATCTGTTTATCAACCCCAGTGATTGCAGTGGAAAAATGATAAATCTAGCTTCTTAACACCAAATTGAGCTACATGGAGTTCCAGGCAGGAACCAGACTACAGACACCAGACTGCACTTTGAGAACTGAAGGTTTTTAATTAAAAATGATGAAGCAGGACCAGACTCTTCCAGAAAAGTGCTGGAATTCAGTAATTATTCTGAAACCAAAAGTAATGCTGCTTTTGATTCAGGTATGGTGTACCAAAAATCTGACTTTCAAAGCCTTTTGTCATAGGTTTTAATTTCTAATTTTGGGATCCCTATTACTTTGTTAAACAATTCTTGAATGAACTGATCAACCTGCAGCTTAGACAGTTAGCTGCTTTATCTGAAAGGCAATGTCAGGTTTCATTTTAAGTCACCTTCTTATTTCTAGATTGTCTTCTAAAAGCCATCAAAATTTAATTGTAATTCTCTAAAACAGCTCTGACACCATGGGGCTGAAGTGATTTGACTGTTGGCATTAGCTTGCAAATGGTTGTTTACATTTAGCTGGAGCAGAGATCACTTCCCAGACAGTTACTTTGCATCCCCCAATGGTACAAATTAAAGGCCACAGTATTCTTTTTTTTCCCCACATGGTTAGTCAAGTTTATGCATAAATTAATGCATTTAGCCTATCTCTAAACGTTCATTTGGAAAACTTTCAAGTATACTTCTGCTAGTGGTCCTAATTGCTGGTGATTGAGGTCCAGACAAGTAGCAGAATGTCTTTATTATGTTGTAAATCACCAAGAAATAAGCAAGAAGATGAGAATAGAAGTTACAACTTAATAACATGCTCTGAATGCTCAGGAACTGTAATTGAACAGGGTGCTGAAATTGGTACTAACCTGCAGTAGCATTGTGGATCAGGCTGAGTAAATTATAATGTATTTCCTGTTTTTTCTTTAATACGTACCATAAACCAAGAAAAATACTTCTTATTTTCAAATCTGTAGGATCCTTGCATTGATTGTAATGGGATCAAGGATACAGAGGAGGGCAGGTCCCTGAACTTCCTGGAGCTCTCTTGCTAGCATCTTATTTGCACACTGTGATTTTGTTCTGTATTGGAGAAAATAAAATTACTTGGTTTTATGTCTGTAGGTTCAGCTCCACTGTGGTCCTGTGAAACTTCTCTGACATATTTATTCTTCTCTAGGTGACAGTCATCAGCCAACTACAAGATTGTCACCATGAGTTTTGTTGAATATGGAGATACGATAAAGGATGGTGACACAGCTATTGTGTTCCTGGGCCATGAATCCATGTTTCCTGTGAAAGTCCAGCACGGCACTGTAACACAGACTAAGTATGGGGTCATCAGGCATTCCACAGACCTCATAGGCAAGAAGTACGGCTCCAAAGTGACCTGCAGTAAAGGAGGATGGGTGTTCATTCTTCATCCAACTCCAGAACTGTGGACCATGAATCTCCCACACAGGACGCAGATCCTTTATTCCACTGACATCTCCTTAATCACCATGATGTTGGAACTGAAGCCAGGCTCCATAGTATGTGAATCAGGTAATAATTATGTTGAAATCCTTTATTAGGAACTAACACCAACACTTTCATGAAAAAACAGGGTTTTCTTTATATTTTGCATAAAGTTGCGCTTTTTTCCCCACTGTGATACAGTTTTCTCTGCCCACATGTTGAAGAATTCTATGACGTGCACATGTTTTTTCAAAAATTGATGCTACCTCAGTGTGCAGCCTCATGTATGTGGGTATACATCTGGTTAATTCATCTTCTTAGAACAAATATGTAAATGTTTTCATTTCCCTTTTCTAAGGGTTGTTAAGTACTTTAAAAATGTTTTTGAATACATTATTTAAATCAAGATTCAGACTTTGGATTTGCAGTTTCAGAGGATGTAGTTGAGATAACCTGGTGAAAGAGAGACTGGTGATAGGGTGTTGAACTAATAAGAGAAATAAATTGGCAGTATTTCTATTGGTACCATGTAAGTACATAAATTTTATTCTTCTCCTCCCAAGAGTAATCTACTTGTAGCACCACAACCTCATGCAAAATCACTGATTAAGTACAACGGATGATGTGTTCATCACAGAGCTGTGTTTTATTTCTAAACTTGGTTTCATTTATTACAGCTATCATGATTTTGCTTAGTTTGGAAGTAAGGAGTGAAAATCAACATAAATGTTTTCTAGGTATAACTTATATATAAACACAGAGTTTATAATAATGTCTTCATAACTTTATTGCTATAGGCAGTATGAGGCTTGCTTGATTTGAGTGAATCTCTGTAATTTGGAGAAATAGAAACTGAGGTAGTTTGTCCTTGTTTTTTCTGGCTGTTTGAGCATTTTAATGGAGAAGTTTCATACACTTCCTGCTCAAACATAGATATGGCAAAGGATCAGCATGACAGGACTGTGATGCACTGTACTTTCTTGCGTTTACCATTTCCTGTTCCCACTCATGCATAATTCTGGGCAGCTTTTCAGGCATAATGACCACTTTCCAACTCAACTGAAGCACCACTTATCTCTGCACCATGTTTCACCAGTTAAGAATCAGGCAGTGCATTTAGCTGTTTGCTGTACAGCAGCACTTGAAGCAGGCAAAGCCCTGTGCAGAAGCCTCTGATACTGTGAAAATAGTTGGGTCCTATGATTTTGTAATTTGGTTTGTAGGACCTGCTATGTTTAGACAGGATGGGAAATATAAATTATTTGGGGGGTTGGGGGGAGAGATTTGAATTGCTTCATGTCCTGTCTCACTCGGACTAGTCAAATGTACAGAGCTGTACATAAAATATTTTCAATAATGTCAAAGGTGCCTAGAGAGGATGAAAATGTTTATTCTCTTGCTTATCTAAATAACTAAGAAGTGGAAACACTTGATGATTTCCAAAAATGTTGTGAGTCAAAAGTTACAGCCACAAATCTATCCCTTTTGCTAAGGGGAAAGTGTCCCCAGGTTCATTTTAATGCTTGTACTGCTATTGTGTAGCAACTTCAGCTTTCCAGGGAAAGTGAACAGTTTTACAGCTGTAGTTAACGCTTGTATTGCTTGCAAGGTTCACTGTTCACAAAGAAAGGAAAGAAGAAGGAATGCTGCAACAAATTCATCTGGCTAACCTTGGAAGCAAGAGACCTTACTGCAGATTTACATTGAATTAAAAACTTGACAGGTATATACAACTGGAGCCTCCAGTGTGGTGCTGTTGCCTGCTTTGATGCCATCCTAAATTCGATGGTATTTGGCTGTCCAAAATCATTAGCTCTAGATTAACCCTGTGTGGGCTAGACAGAACCAGCCCAATGGTGATGAGTAGAACCAAGACAGGAAATCCTGTCAGTTAAAACTTGAGTCTGCTTTCTGCTGGTGCCGAGTTTAGGTGAATTTTAAACATTAATTAGCACAGAGGTCTGTCTTTTTTATTATTTGAACTTATGTACACAGTTGCTTTATGGACTAGCAAAGCAGGCTCTGTAAAAAAAAGCTGGGCTCTTTTCTTCTTGTCTTACTAACTCATCTGTAGAAGTATGTTGTGTATTTAGCCATTGTAAACTAGCAGAATTTTGAATTAGTGAGAAGAAATGATTGAAAAAGCAAGGTGAAATACCCTCCATATCATGTTGAAATGCTGTGAATGAATAAATGGTCTTCTGCATGTGATTATAAAAATGGAGTAGAATAACAAGAAGGATTAATTTTATGTCACTTTAATTATGTAATTTAAATTGATTAGTCATGATTTGTCTTAAAATATATAAATATATATATATAAAAAATACAGTTTTTACTATGTTTAATCGTCTTTAATAAACACATGAAGAACAAGCTTGTCAGCAGCACATACATAATTCAGATGACCCAGGTATTCTCTGTTGTGGAGGCTATAAGGAGACTCTGCATCTACCTGATGTTTCATGACAGAAGTGTAGGAATATGATCCTTTTTCTGTCTTCTGCTAATTTCTTATTTATAAAGGTATGTTGAGTTTTAAAATTGTTAGCACTGTTATTAGAGCTAAGATATTTCAAAAATATTGGTCCCTGCCCTGAGAAATTCCCCACTCGGATAGTTTTTAACAACCCTATCTTTCCAAAATCATGATAACTCAAAATAACTGCTTAAATACCTGCTGTGAGTGGCCCAGTAGTATAAAAGTTTTATTCTTTCAGGTAATTCTAATAATCTCATTTGTGTTTATTGTATATGTATATGCCTAGATAAAGGAAAAGTCTAAATTTTTCTCTTTTGTCTCATCTCACTCTCCAGATCTAATCTTGATGTCAACTTCCCAGGCTAGACTCCCCCTAGGATAATAATTCAATTTTCCAGCTCATTTTGAGGGGTTTACGGTTTTTTTTGATACTATAGTGGAACCAGTATGAAACCTTTCAAATATTTTTTCCAAACAAAATCCCCTTCTTTCTGGTCCCCACACACCAAGGCTTTTTTACTGTCCTCTCTCCATGGTGAGATGTAGAAGAGTGCCTGTCTTAATGGTACAGCATGTGAAACCTCATTTAACCTGATAAATCTCAGAAATATTTTGGCTTCAATGAAGGGTAGTATTTAGACAAAATGTAATTTAGTCAAAAGTACTTTAACCACCATCCCGGTGATCCTTCAGCATTCACAAAATCAGACTCACATGAGCAAAAATGTTAATTGGATTTTTTGTTTCCCTTCAGCTAAATCCCAAATTAAAAATTGCTAAACCCCATCCATTGCTACACAGCAGTGGGTTTTCAAGTTCAGGGCCTGGACTTCTGAAGGCTGAGAGCTGTGTTCTGGGTTCTCATGGTTTCTCACAGAAGGAGTAACAGGAGCTGCCACCCAGCCTTACACTAGAGCTTCTCAAAAACAATTATGAAATTTTCAAACTCACAGCCTGGGTATAGATTTTGTTAGAGTACACTCATAAAAAATTAATGAGGACTTAATGATTAATGGATACTTAATAAATGATTAAGAGTTTATTGTGGAGTCCCAGCAAATCATCTGTATGCTTATGACTCTTATGAAACGCTTATAGACTTTTTGACAAGTACTGCTCGTGTCTTTACTATTTTTGTGTCATAAGTATATGTAAATTGTTTGCAGCTCTGTTTTTAGTGTAAAGTACACTAAAAACTACTAGAAAGTACAGGCCAAAGTTTGGAAGTATTAATTATATTCTGGAATGTACCCAAACTAATTATGTTGGTGTTTTATAATGTCTCCCTTATCTACCTCTTAGCAGCTGTTCAGGTTAGAGCGAGAGAAGAATTAGAACCTGATCCTTGTATAGCACCTCTTGAAATATTAGAAAGGTCTCATTAGTACAAATGTCATAAACCACAGTATTCTCTTGCAATACCAAAGCACTGAACTGATGCTGGGGCCCCCAACAGAGGGGCAATAAAGAAAGATGTGGATCTGTTGCACCAAGTCCAGAGGAGGCCATGAAGATGAGCAGGGGACGGGAGCACTTTTCCTAAGGAGACTGAGATTTTTCAGCCTGGAGAAGAGAAACCTCCAGGGAGATCTTAGAGGACCTTCCAGTACCTAAAGGGGCTGCAAGAGAGCTGGGGAGAGGGAATTTTACAAGGGCATGGAGTGATAGGACAAGGGGTAATAGGTTTGAATGGGAAGAGGTATTAGGAGGAAAGCCATTACTGTGAAGGTGCTGAAGCCCTGGCACAGATTGCCCAGAGAAGCTGTGGATGTCCCATCCCTGGAGGTGTTGAAGCCCAGACTGGATAGGGCTTTGAGCAACCTGGTCTAGTGGAAAGGTGTCCCTGCCCCAGACAGGTGGGTTAGAACTAAAGAATCTTTAAATGTCTTTCAACCCAAACCATTCTGTGGGTCCTTGATGACTCTGTGAACCGAACCTCTGACCACATGAGGCATCACTGTAATGTATTCAGACTTGTGGCTGTCACGTAGCTGAGGAGGAATGCTGTTCATACCCTAAAGCATTTGTTTCCAGACTTTCTGGACTCACTTTGATCTTGTAATTTCAGCTGACCACCAAGCACACTTCTCATGCAGCTCTAAACCTAACCATATTATGTCCATTCTGTAGAAGATTCCTTCCTAAAAAATTCAGACTTTTGAATCTATAAGGAAAATTTATTTCTTCACTTGAATCTCTAAGGAAAATTAATTCTTCATATTATTCTGTAGGCAGTGCCAGCCTTGGAAACTTCCCTACTATCCTTCCCTCAGCTCCTCGGTCTGGTCAGTGAGCAGTGGCCCTCTCTGACCTTCAGCCTGTTGCCTAAAATGCCTGCTTCATCATGGTGTCCATGACAGATAGGCAGTTAAGCTAATTTTCTGTGAAAAACTTGACTGTAAAGTGAACTTTTTAATTCAGTGTTACCTCTTTCAGCCATCCATTCAACGCCTTGAAATTGTCTCCTTCCCTCTCTTCTTCCTTCTCTCTGTCCCTGCTCTTCCTGTGTCTTACCTCTGCTACCATGATTTGGACCCTTGGCTATCCTCACAGTAAGATATTTGGGTTAATTTCCATCAAATGCTTAATATCTTTTCATGTATTCATTATAAGTCATTACACAGACTTGTCATGTACAGTGAGCAGTCTTCGTCTGTTCAGTGTTTCTTGACAGATTTTAGCTGTGGAGTTGTTAGCTCTGTCTCAAGATTAATTTTCCCTTGGTTTTGAGGCTCCTTCCGTTCTCATGGCTGATTCATGACCTATCTTACTATTTGCTAGGGCTAAGTGGTGTAGCTAGGAGACAAATAGAGCAACAGTCATTGTTTTGTTATATTTACTCATTTCAGAATATCTTGGGTAGCCAAATTTTGCATCAGAAGCTTAAGTTCTACTAAAATGTTACTAGATATTTTAGAGACATGGTATTAAATAACACTTTGCATACTTTTCTCTTTTTGTGTTTCCAAGCAATATGAACCTTTTTATGCACTCAAGAGCTTATTCAGCTTTATTTCAAAATGCTTTTGCTTACACACAACTGTAAACATCTATAGATCCTAAATGACAATTTGTAGCTCCTTTTTTAAAAAGAAGCACCACGATGAGAAATTTCTAGGGAAGACAAGCCAAGCGACAGGCTGCAAAGAGAAAATGTAGTGGAACAAAGAATCAGGTCACTTATAACTGTGGCATGGGTAGGATTTCAGGAGATTAGACAAATATCCTTTGCAATAAGGAAACCAGACTAAACAGAAAACAGTGTAAAACGTACTTTGTATTTTGTATCAGCTAAGCGCTGTGCATGATGCTGTGGTGATACTCTTGTAGTCTTGGTGGTATTCTGTGCTGAAATAACATGCTTTATTTTTGAACAGCTCAGATATTGTACACTGCAACTTTTGAGGTGAGAAATTATTTTAACATGGACATTGTTTCAAGATTGCTGAGGTGTGTGGGGGCTTCTCTGTGGAAACCCTGTCACTTGAATAAGCATAGAGTGAGAAGAACAGATGTGTTGGAGGTCAGGGTAATCAAGAAGTTCATCTGATCAATAGGTTGCATGTCTGCAAATTAGAAGGAGGTATCCACTTGTTAGGACTGAAATCCTAAAACTGCAGTGTTCTGCTTGTTTTGGGAGAGGGGACAAAACACGTGCCTAGAACTTATACATATCAGAGAAGGAGAATGCTTGAGCCCAAGAAGAAGGAAAGGATACTACATCAGTGTGTAGGACCATTAGCCACCTAAATTGTGGGTGTAACACGGGAGTTTAATTCCTGCCTTTGGCCTGAAGTGGAGCCCATTCCTAGTTTACACTGCGCTGATCCCCTGCACAGTGCTGCCTCCTCAGATGTTGAGCTTTGAGTGTGGCATATTGGGGCCCCTGCCGTGTCTCATTAAATGCCTGCAATGCAGATGTCTGCTTTTTGACTAAGATGTTGGAGATCACAGAACAGTCAATGTAAAAGAGAATCACATTTTCCAAGTGAAAATTAGCAATGATGTAAGTGCTCACCTAAGTGAGCTCTAAAGCAGTAGCTGTGCTGCTAAGGTTGTCTTCAGTACAGTTTGAATTGTTGTTGTTTTACCTCTGTTCTGTAGAGTTCATTCATGATTAAAACATGGTAGATAAGTGGGTATTGTCCTGTGGTAGAGAGAAAACAGTTTCTAAGGCTGTTTATTGTGCAGGCTGTCAGAAAGGGACCATCCTGGTGTAAAAATTATAAATCAGTTGTCTTACGTTCTGCTTTCTAGGTCATATCAAGAACACAAGCATTTCATTGCAGCTTTATGAGAAAGAAAATCCACTGAAGTTATTCCAGTTCTGATCTTGTCTCTTCTGATACAAAATAGTAGTTTTGAGTATCCAGTTTTGGTCATTTGTATACAGGTAATTCAGGTATGCTATTTCTGTTTGGCAGCGTTCTAGTATGTCTGCAGTACTAGTCCTTGAGTTTTGCTGCTGTCCTGATTCGTTCTGTATCATGCTGAGGATACCTTTCATTTCCCAAAGAAACCTGTACCTGACTAGAATTTACTCCAAACTGGTGCCTAAGACTCTTTGAGTCATATTTTGCTTTTTTTCAGTAACAATTCTGAAATAAGGACAAAGAGAAATTGAGAAGGAGGACAGAAATGTTGAATGTTGTAGATTTGCAGGGAAGAAATTGAATATAAACATTAATTTCCCCTTCTACAGCATCACAAAAACATAGGGTTGAACCCCTGCCTTGTGTAGACAGTGCTGATTGGGCATTAGGGCTTGTGGCAGATATGGACTCATGCCAGACTCTCATATTAATGGATCACATCAAATGTGCTGATCTACTGAGCACATGAGAGTTAAGGGTCATCATCATGTCACATGTCTGGGTTCAGAATATATTTTCAAGGAGAAATTACAATAGTGGGTGATTCATAACCATCTTGTTCCTTGTTTCCTGCAGTTTTGAGAGTGTTATCACAGAGAAGGCAGGCAGTATCTTCAGAAAAACTTCCATTAATAATATTAATGTGATAGAATTTGATATGTTAAAATGTGATACATATGTATTGTTCTCATGTTTGTGGCAACCAGTCAACAGTAAACAATAAACCAGTCAACAATAACCTGGCAACCTTGTTTAACAAAAGCTCTGTGTGTAATATGCCTGCAAGTGGTGACTTCCAGCATCTTGGTTTTAGTTCAGGGTTTGGCTTGGAGTGTTTGTGAATAAAAGAAGAGTTTTAGAAAAGAAGCCAGAAAATCTTAATGGGTTTTCCTATGGAGGAGATAAATATTATCTTCTGTGGTTTTATTAAGAGCAGACTTAAAAGGAAAGTGATTAAAAATGTAGAAGAATATGAACAAGGAAACTGGATACATGTGCAAGCTGCCTGCCTATTCTGCTTACAGCCCAGGCCTGCTCACTCCTTTAGAGGAGTGCTCTCCCTTAGCTCTCTCCTTTAGCAGAGAGATGCAGAAAGTGTGCAGCACTACGCATTTGAGGGGTAAAATAATTAAAGTCTGTCATTTCACAATAGTTCTCAGTGGTGTAATCCTCCCTTTTGGCTTGAAATGTAAAGAGTTTCAGTCTTTAATATCCTGTGAGCAATAGTTCCCTGCTTTTGTCATTAAAAACCTCTCAATGGAATGCTATTTCTTTGTTGTGCACATATATTATTGAGTTTGCACAATCACTTGGCTGCTGTGCTACCATTACTCCTTTGACAAGGGAAAAGTTCAGTTTGACATTTAGAACCTTCAAGTACTGTGACAGGGTGGTTTTTTGATGTATGCACATGTAGGTGTCTTTTGCTTTTTCTTTGTTTTATTTTAATAGTACCTTGAATGCCTGTATTTTCACTTTATTAAATGCATGTATTTAATGAATGCAAAAGTTTCTCTTCTCATGGACCTCTCTGAAGCCAGTGCTAAAATCTCTAGGTCCTCTTTCCCTCTCTAATCTGCCCTGCTGAAGCTGCAGGGGGGGGTTCCAGTCTGCCCACTGGGGTCAGAGCCCTCTCAGAGGGAAGCAGAGGAGCAGTGCAATTCCACGGTGCAGCCGCTTGATCCGGTGGCAAACATGGGCCCTGAGCTCTGTTTACAGTCTGCATGTCTCCCCTTTCAGAGCTGTCAGATTAAATACGGTGCCACAGCAGTGTTCCTCCCCTTATGTGACTAGAGGGCAAGAACCTGGGATCTGCCAGTGAACTCAGACTTCCTGTATGATTATGGAAAATACTGCACCAATTAAGTGGCTGTACCAGCCCCTGTGCCCCCTAATTAATTTCCTTTCTAGTTGTTTCTGAGGTATTGTACTTCAGATTTCTGTCCTTTTTAAGTTTTTCTAAGATTTATGTTAGCTGAAAGAACTTGCCTCAGGCTAAACAGTCATTGAAAATAGCTAGAAATAGATTTTATTTCTACAGGAGAAATGTGTTCTAAGCACAGAATTATGAATCAATAAACACAGATAATTTGGGGTTGCTGTGGGGTTTTGAATTTGGGAGGTTACTCTGTTGAATGCCACTTGAGTGACAAATTTGCAATGGGAATTGGTATACGGATGTGTTCTTAAGTGAAAATCTTAGTTATTAGTCATTCATCTATTTAATATGCCAATGGATCATTTAAAGTAGGTTTCCTAAATTATCAAACTAAAACAAGGAAAAAAATCTTTGTCTTGTCAGTTCCTGTTTGAATGTGGTAATTGTAGTTACCTACAATTTTGTGATAGATTTTGTTAGACTAAGTTAAAGTTGTGTAGGTGTGTATGTGTGTAAGTGACCTGTGAAAACAGGTGATTGATCAGTGTGCCTTCAAGGAGCCAAGAGGCCTTAGTTTTGGGTAATTCCAGTGGGAGTTGAGGATGTCTCTTAAGAGATCTGTGCAAAAAAAAACCTGTATCCTGACAGCCATTTGTTTGCATGGATATTAATAGGATTTTCAAGCATGGACCCATGCCAACATCTTTTCTTTGTTTAGTGAAGTATAAGGTTTTGAAAATCTGTTAAAATTTGCCTTAATCTCTTTTCACCCTGGAAGAGTCTGACACTTTGAAAAAAACCTCTCTAGTTAATTTCCCTGAATTTTTCCTGTTGCATTTACTTCCTCGTGTTCTCCAGTGGCAGTTGTTAGAACTATAGCTGACCTTTGGCATTACTTTTGTACTCCAGGGAGATAGGACAGATCCTGGGTTTGCCTGATTTTTAATGAATGCTTTGAGGACCCAGAAGATTGTTTCCTAGGTCACCTAGTCCCCTCCCTCCTTGTGAAGGAAGGACTGTTCTCTTTCAAGAGCTGAAATAGTAGTTTGTGTTTATTTGAGTTTTGAACAAGTGTTCCAAGCAGGAAGACTAATGCAGAAGACTTTAGTTCTGATGTTTGGCACTGACAAACTGAATTTCATGAGCTGTCTTTTCTAGGTACAGGCAGCGGGTCTCTCTCCCACGCTCTCATCCGGACAGTGGCTCCCACCGGGCACCTGTACACAGTGGAATTCCACCAACAGAGGGCTGAGAAGGCGCAGGAGGAGTTTCGGGAGCATGGGGTAGAGCACCTGGTCACAGTGACCAACCAGGATGTCTGCAAAAATGGCTTTGGGGTCTCAAACATTGCAGATGCTGTGTTCCTAGATATTCCATCTCCATGGGAAGCCATAGGACATGCAAAGTCAGCATTAAAAGCTGAAGGTAACTGCATTTTTCTCTTTCTGTTCAGGAAGTATTGTGCACATATCTCTGCCTTTGAGCCATACACTGGATGTGCTCCCTTACCTTGTGTGATCACTGTTCTCAAATGTCAGTCTCCAGGCATTTCTAAGGCTGTAAAATCTTCAAAAGGCATCTTCAATTTACAGTGGAAGTTTTGAAAGAAAAACAATTTTTTCCTGCCAGCCGGTGAATCTGCTACAGTTAGCATGGGCAGTTTATAAAAACTCCTTTGAACCATTCTCAAGTGCATTTTGCTAGATCTGAGGTGTGTGGGAAGCAGAAGTAACAATAAATGCTGAAAGCTAATTTCTTTGGCAATTCAGTGGAAAGGTGTTTGTATAAAAGGTGTTCAGCCTCAGTTCACACCAATCATTGCAGATTTGTACCTATTTAACAGAGCACCCCAACAGTAATGTTAAAAAAGATGTGGTTACACTTATACATGCTTGCTAGTTTATGTCCTAAATCTTTGTAGCTGGAGCTAGTGAGGAGTTTGCCATTGGATGCAGTGAGAATGGAACATACAGGATTTTCTAGCTTATGCCAGTTACTCTGGGATTGTGGCAGCAACTGAGAACTGATGTTGAGGTTTTGCACAGATTTCATCACTTTATTATATCTCTTTTCTCTATTGAAAAATAAGCTTCAGTGAATAAATAATTCTTTTATCCTGGAAAAAGTTTTCCTCTAATTAATGTCATAATAGTGTGGACCTGAATTAACTTTTGCTTCCATCTACAAAAGTGGCTTCTCTAATCAAGAGAGCATGGAGTGCTGAGCAGTGTCCATGCTGGGACATGAGTTTAAAAAAAACTTGGTTATGTTCCAAGGCCCAGTTCTTTATTAAAAATATATAATCACAGGCTGGGGTTCAAGTGGATTGCTAAGTCTTCTTGAAATCACAAGATTTAAGCTTGTTCTTAAAGGTCACTAAATGTGCACTGCCTTGCTGAGTCAGGACCAGCCCTGCTGTTAGGCTACTTCAGCTACTACTGAAAATTTTCTAGAAAGCTTTGTGATACACACATAACACACTTTCTTTAAAATGTGAATAAATAGAGTGAGCCCTGTTAACACTCTGTACCTACAGTGGTTACAGCTCAATTTGTATTAGCTTTCCAGTGTGTCCTGGGGGGGGGAAATCACTGCACTGTACAATGCCCTTCCCATGCTCAAATTATCTAATCTAGTGAGCACAACACTCAGCTGACTTCCCAGCTTAGAAGGCGCTGCATTGCGCAGTCCAATTTGAATTATTTAAGTGGTGCATGCTTAGAATACTAAGCAGGGCTGCTTGAACAGTTCCAAGTTTTGAATCCTTGTCTCACTCCAGCATTTGAAATCCTCAAAAATGTATTATAGTCCCAAACTGGCCATACCATCTGGCTATGCTTTTCTGTGCTATGCTACAAGGTTACATCTGCTTAGGCAATATAAATAAGACTTCAAAATCGACATTTTTTGTGTTTGTGAAGTGGCATCTGAACCACTTTATGAACCACTCAAAAAGTGAAGTTGGTGATCCTTGTTGAAGTTTTTGCTGCGACCAGCCACCCATGTCTGAGATCTGGTGCTGGTCTAAGGCTTCTCTTTTGGGCAACTTGATACCTGACTGACGGGGGGGCATTTTTAAAATTTTGTTATTTTGCATATAAACAAAACCTGTTTTGCATATAAAAGATAATTGATTGTTGTAGTAATATGCAAAAACTTACACACTTTCCTGTTTTATTCTGAGTCATGTGGGTAGTTTTGTTGTGGTTTTTTTACTGCTGTTAAATTTAAAATACGGCAGAAGGTTATCTGTAACTGCTTCCTTTTCCCTACCACAGGCAGATAATTTAGTAGTGCTCCTTTGTTTTGTTTTCAAAGAGTTAAAGCTCTTCTGCAGTACAGCCTGTGCACATTCTGTTGTTATTCAACCCCATTCCAAGGGTCCCTGTAGTGTTAAAGCATCACTGCAGGAAATGAATTCCACTCCTTTCTGTCCATGCCCTCTCTCTCAGATCTGGACTGGGTCACATTTGAACCATTCACACTGTGGGTTTTGGTGTGATGTGCCATGCAACAGCTAGTAGTAATTTAGTCCCTAAATTCTTAAGGTATTTTGAATTAAATCAGAACTAAGCAAATTCAACAATACAGCATTAGCTACTCTCTTCCTTAAAGCCACAATACTTGTGATAGAGAGTTCAGCTGAGACAATATGGGAGAGTTCTCAACCTTAACAAAACCTTATCAGATCAGTGTTTTCTCTCCTACTTGAGCTCAAGGTCCTGAATAGTTGCAGCTCCTCATAGGCTGAGTGTTAATGATCCTCTTTACAGAGTACAATTATCACTCACATTATGCCTTCCAGTATGCTGTAAATACTCTACTTAGAGCAGCTTGGTCTTCCATTTAAAGCACTGCCAACCTGTGAAGAGCTGCAAGAATGAAATGGCACAGTGGGTTTGTGACTAGAACGTTCTTGTTCTCTGGTGATGCTCTCCACCGTGGTTCAGGTTTGCATCTCAGCTGCATCCTTTTGTGCTGATGTCACCAGTCACACTTCCAGCAGAAAAGCTGCTTGTAGCATCTCTGAGGCACTGCTGCACTGCAGAACTTCCTTTCATTTCCAGACCTGCACTGTTTTTCTTCTGCAGCATCTGCTGATTAATGCTTTTCTGTAGTCATAGCTGCTGTTCCCAATATCTGACCATGATGGTTTTTGCAAAGGTGACGTTAACCCCTTCAGGCTAAACGTATAAAAATTAGGAAAATGAGAAAATTGCAAGGTAACAAAAATATCCTGAATATTCTACAGTTCTTAAATGCCCTGAAACTTTTGACTCACAGTCATTTCACAGCTGAATACTGTAGTGCTTTGAATATAATTCTGCACCCACCTACTCTGCTCTCATAAATACTGTCTATTTCTTCCAAGGCTGTGGAAGATGAGGGAGAAGCCCACTGGTACAATAATTTTCATACAGATTTTAAATTTTCAGGTAGGGGGATGGAAAATTACAGCCGTGTATTAGGCTGGATTAGCCTCCTGCATTTTAAGTTGCTCCTTGTGGTGTTTAACAGTCTGAGTCACAAAATTATTAAAACCACCTCTCTTTTATTTCCTTTCTTTCTTTAAAGATTTTACTCTTAAATTCAGATTTTTTTCATTCTCTCTGGAGCATTGTAAAGCCCCTAAATTATGAGTTTGTCAAATTTTGATCCTTAAAATAACACCTAAATCAGGTAATATGGTGCTGTCAATTCTCCCCAGAAAACTCTGCAGGTAAAGTTGGCTTTGAACGTCTCCCTCTTTGGGCCTCTGCACTTCCATGTCCACATAGGAAGCCTCACTGGTTATTTTTCTTGAGCTCCAGAAGTTGTTCATGGTCCCAGTTTTAAACCACCCAGGTGTGGCTTTGAGGAGCAGCTTCTGTCCCTCACAATGTGAAGTACATGGACTACTAATTCATCCCTAGCTTGGGTCTGTCAGGGCTTGGCAGGTCAGGTGCACACAGTGGGCCTGGCCTGAAGCACGAGTGATTCTTTCATGTGTAGGGTGTCCAGCAGAAGGATTCCTGCATCAGAATCCTCACTGTGGGAGGCCAGCCAAAGCTACTGGCTTTTACACAGTTGGAAGGAAGCAGTTTGAGATTAAAGGATCCTTTAAGAAAGTTGTTAGGTTTTCTTCCCCAGTATTGATCCATCTGATTTTTTAATTTCTTTGTTACATGCTTTTACCAGTCAATAATAATGAGCAGGAATAAATTCCTTTTGAATGATGCGCCTACGAGTGCAGAGGTTAAAGTCACAGTCGCAGAAAATCACATCAAGCTCCTATTAATGAGCTGGCAAGTGATTGGGAGAAAATTCTCTTTTCTGAATCAAGAAACATCCTTTAATTTCTTCCAACAGCCAAATCCTCTAATTTCACTTGTCAGGGAAGCTACATCAAATCGCCCACAAGCACACGCACTTAAAGGACATTCTGTCCCCTTTTGCAGAGACAATATTTTTAGTGTCCTACTAGCATAGAGTAAATGCCACAATGATGCTGCTCAGTGACTCTCCTGCCTCACCCCTACACAATGATAATGCCTGTGTGTTTTTTTTCTTTCTTGAGATCTTTGTAACATAACCTTCCAAATATGACAATGCACTGAAGTCCCAAAACCAAGCTGTGTTCTTCTGCCAGAGGTCAAAATGCTGTGCTGTATTCTTTATGTCACAGGATCATTCTAAAATTTCTGGCCCTTTTCCCTAAAACTTAATGGTGCTGCACTACATGTGCATCATCTGAGTAATACTGGGAGGATGAAAGAACCTGTCAGAGCACTTGTGACACATACAATAACCTACAAAAATAATTTCTTGGGCATGTTTTCTGTATCTTAAATACGCACTGGAATTCTTGTCAATTGGTAACATTGATACTTTCCACACTTGAAACCTAATGCACTTATTAGCTAAACAGAACTGGTAGAGATGTTAGTCCTTGCTCAGACAAACCAGAAACAAAATTCTTTGTTGGAGTTGCACAGGAACATTCTGGCAACTTTCGAGGCACTGGCCTCTTGTAGAGATGCAATGGTGTGTCCCTCAATTACCAATTCGATACAGTCTATTGAAATGTACAGTTCTATGTGGCTGAAAATCTTCTATTTCCCTCTTCCCTTAAGCTCACTTTTCTGATCATCCCAGTCTGAGTTGTACTTCTATTTTCATGTCCTCTCTACCCTGTTGTTGGTTACAGTGACTGCCAGGACTGTGTGGGCTTGTTCCAGGCTATGGATTCAGGACATTTAACCTCTTCATTAAATGCTTCAAACTAACTTGGTGCCTGTAAAACTGAAGGCAGAAAAAAAACTTAAGTCTTTCATAGAGTCTCATTATTCTCTTCTCCTCAACTGTAGCACTTGTCAGATGCATTATACATGAATAAACACATTTTTAGACAGCTCTTCAGATCAAAAAGCTCGCACAGCTTCCCAATGTGAACAGGATTAATCTCTCATAATTACTATATCAATTTATGATGACACACAGATCTCATTAACCAAATTTAGGAACGGTAGCTTTCCTAAAAGGAGACCTCTGAAAGAGCTCAAACCCAATTTGTACAAAAAAGTTTCCATTCAGATGTTTTTGACTGCTCTCTAGTCTAGTCCACCCCTTTGTGAGCAACGTGCCCCAGAGAGGAGAAGAGAGCGAGGGAGTTCATGTGTTTTCTTCATTCACTAAGGAATCCTTGGCATGGCAAGACAAAGTAATGCATATTCAAGTCCTTTAAGGCCTAAAAGCCTCTTGGTGTCTAAAGGACAAGAGGGCTCTCACAGAGTCTGAGAACTGTGAATGCTGAAATCTAGATTTATATCTGTTTGGTGATTGTGACAGAAGGGGTGTTGCCTAGCTGGTAGTCCAGCTGGGTACAGAGGGCAGCCCACAGTGTGCAGAATTCAGAAGCATCAGCTCTGTTAAAGATAAAAGTGTCTCTCCTCCTGGGTCAAATGAACATGTCCTTCTGAGCGCTGGTCTTCTACTTTTTTTTTTTTTTCTGCTGGTCTAAACACACCATAGGAATTGAAACTTAAATGTTTCTATTTTAGACAGCCTCTCGCAGTCTGGAACTGCAATTTCATTTTTGCCTTCAGCCTTCTGCTAACTGTAGCTCTCCAATCTTTGCTCCAAATATCTGCTTAATCAAATAATTCCAGCCTGTAACTGCAAGTCAGATCTGGCCTGCCTCACAGTACAGGAAAAATGAGAGGGGAGGGACCCTCCTCTCATTTGTTAGGATCCGTAAGATCAGATGCTTGATGGGTTTTCTTCTAAGCCATTTGTAGGTATGTTTATTTGGAAGGGATGTATACGAATAATGAGAACAATAGGTATGAAAGGGGAAAACAAAATCGACAGAACTATTAAAACCCATTGGATGGCCTCAGTTAGATGGAATACCAGCAGTTCACTGTTTTCTCATCTTTCACACCTGAGAAATTTCCAGCAGTGCAGGAAGTAAAGGTATTTTTTGTGCTTGCCCTTTGGATATTTGCTACTGCAAGCAGGAGCTTTCTTCCTTACCAAACAGCTTGAAAGCCTGTTTTCTGTAACCCTACTTCCCCCAGCAGTTGTGAGGAGGCAGCCTGATAAATCTTCACCAAGTTTGGTGTTGATGTGCTGTGCTCAGCTGACCAGCCCCAGGCAAGAGGAAGGGTGCTCTGCCTTTAATTGAAGGCTTGACAAGAACCGTAGGTGGCTTTGCTGCTTGTATGGCAACAGCTGTGTGCAGGCTCTGAGTTTTTGACTGTAAATCCAGAGCATGTGAATTCAAAAGCCTAAACATATTTTCAAACCCTTAGAGTCAGAATAAATAAGAACAGACTTACTGTAAATGTAAATATATTTCTTTTTATTTATTGCAATAAAAAAAACTCAAAATCAAAAAGCCTGAATGAAGTAGTAGTCTCTGGTCTCTCGGCAGATTCTTGCTTTGCAGACAAAGAGTTATTGTGAACTGACATTTAGTTAAGTCAGACATTTGTTCAGTTCCCTACACAATGAGAATATAAATTCTTTCTTTGTAACATGCTTGCATCATAGTAGCTTTCTAATTATGTAACAGAATTTTTTTCCTGAGCTTTTCTGTTTTACATCTGCAAGCATGGTAGAAGTGTGTAAGTTCTTTGGCCAGAAAGGATTACCTGTCAGATTCAGGAACACTTTGGTAGTGCTGGCCATCCTGATGAACATACAAATCTAATTTCATGGGAGTTAATGGACTGGGCGTGCAATTAAATCAGCATCAACAGACTTGGTTCATAAAGACACATACCAGCGTTAATTTTGCAGGTGATTATTAGATTTGGGGTTTAATTGTCACTCCAGGGAATTACTTGTCCAGGGTACTTTGTTCTGAAGATTCATGATAAGAACCCCTTGGTGCTGAGACTTTATTTGAGGACTAAAATTAAATCCTACTTAGTGTATGTTGGATTAATGGTTGTGGAAAGTGTTCTTCCCCAGGCAGTACCCAGCACATCATTGCTGCACAGTAACTAGAGTGCTACAGTGACGCTTTCAGACCTGATGCTTTCTTTTTTTAGAGATCTGACTTTAGAAACGAAAAGGGAAAAAAAAAAAGGGGAGTTTGAGATAAAGCAGACTTCATGTAGTTCCAGCATTGCCTCTATTTTTAGCAGGATGCTTTGCTCTGGCTTGCATGGGTTCTTTAACTACTTAGATGGCTGGTATTGGAAGGTTTGACTGGAGTCCAGAAGAGGATTGGGAAGGAATGCAAATCAGGTCAGCAGGCATTTTCATCTAATTGTGATAAATGAAACAATAGCTGAAGCTGCATTGCCCAGTGTTCCTTCCTCCTGCACAAAAGCTTTTCAGGAAGGGCAGTTTCCCTGGGGACACTGTGTCCTGGGTGAAAGCACATGCCCTGGCTTTATGGCAGACAGTGTCCTTATAATTCTTTGATCTGATTTGGCTGTGGCTTTTCAGAGTAAATCTGAATCATTCTATTCTCAGCTGTTAAGGTGACATTGTAGCACTTAGAAAGGTGTAGGGGGCCTATTAATACTCTGTACTAAGAATCAAAAATCAGAACTGTGCACAGACAAGGAGACAAGTATTGGTTTGTCACTTAGAAGTTCTGTCCTAGAGTTTTACAGCATTTACTGTAAGCCTGCACAATGTGATACCCAGTAAACTTCAATGCTCAGGAGACATGCTAGTCAGCTTGACTAAAAGGGTGAAGCCTTAACAGCACTCCATCTATGGCCTGGAGAGATCCCTTTATTCTGTCCATGCATACCATCGTTCTCAACTAAACACAGCTGCTTTTGTCAGGGGCGTGTGCACACACGCTGGGGCTCCAGCGCTGTGCAGCGTGTGGAGAATGACTTCTGGCTTTGTGTACGTGCCAGCTGCAGTTTGGTGCCTCAGTCCAGAACAGTGGAGAGTGATTCCAAAAGGGTCACTGCTCTGAAGGGATCAACTTTAACAGTTTTGCTGTGAACAAATGTCGAGGGCAACATTAGATGTGGAAGATGAATGAAGTTGCTGTTGTCGTTTATTTAAAGGGTCTGAAGCATCCTGTAGAGTTGTCCGTGTTTGATTTTGTGCTGACACTATAAACCAACAAAGTTGCCTTGTGAAGATTTTCTTGAAGAATGTTTTCACTTTGTCTGTATAATAGTAATTCTATGGGCATCTGGGAGAATTTGAAAAAAGATGGGAAGAGCTTCATTTTGGCTTTTGCTCTCTTTTCCACTACCTGTCTTATTTTGCAGGTGGCCGCATCTGCTCTTTCTCCCCCTGCATTGAACAAGTTCAAAGAACCTGCCTAGCGATGGAAGAATATGGTTTTACAGAGATTAACACCTTGGAAATTCTGCTCCGAGTCTACAATGTAAGGACAATTAGTTTGCAAATCCCTGACCTTGGAAAAGCAGCTGAGGATAATTCTAGCACTGGCTTTGACAGCAGCAAGCCATCACACCAAGGTAGCCCGTGTGCTAATCTGCAGCAAGGGACTGTGCAGTTCAAGAGTGGCGTGCCACTGAGGGAGGTGGTTGGGCACACTGGGTACCTGACCTTTGCCACCAAGAGCCTGATGTAATACATGCCCAGTTTGTGCAGTCTGTAGTGGAGTTTGTGTGCATTCTGTTTTCATGGCTCTTTTTTGTATGGCATCCAAAGTTTTACTTGTCAGGGAATTCCATATATAGTCAGATTTGGTTGGAATATGCTTTGTTTAAATAGCACACAAGCATTAAGCAGAGCAGCATCAAGGGAATGTTGAAACTCCGGAATGGTGCTCCACTTGCTGTCAAAAAGAAGATAAATTAATAGCAAATGGCCATTCACTGGAATGTGCAGAATTAAGATCTCATAAGAAAGCAAAACAAACAACAGACAAATTACAAAGAAGTTGAAGTTTTTCTTTCTTTTTCTTCTGAATTGCTTTCCCAGGTTTGTGTTTTTATTTTTTCCTAGCACTACTTGACACTATTTTTTGAACTTCTCTAGTGTCTGTGTTGCTCTGAAGAATGTGAAAGTGCCCACTTCCTCCATTTTAGATAAGAAAGTTCCAAGATTATAGGGTTGCCAGCACAACTGTTCACAGAATCAGTGTTTCCTTGAAATAGTGTTCCAGAGGATTATTGGCAGCACTCAGGAACGCAACCTCTTACTCCATTCCAGGCTGGCATCTGTAAATCATTTTAACTACACAGAGGTCAAAGAAGTGTGGCAATTGTTGGATTTAATTTAGATTGGTATATTGTGATCATCAGTTTGTAGTAGAAATTTGAACCTGGATCCATACAGTCATGTTCTAATGGAACAACCACTTGCATAGTTGATGAATTCACTGTGAAAATTAACTGAACAGCTGGCTAATATTATCTGAGCACCTCTTTGTAAGTGGTGTGGATGAGGTTCCAGTTGTTTCGTGGTTTATTTCCATTATGGTGTATTGTTTTCCTGCAGCTGAATGACAGAAAGATTGCTTTTGGCAGGATTTCTGTTTCCAAATTACATCAATAATGCAAACTTAGTAAAATCCTCAACCAGCCTTATTAATTAAGTTTTCAGATCATTTACTCTTTGGTCTTCCATATAGAGTTGGTGGGTGTGATGAACTATTTGAATGCTAGATTACATTTTGTATTTATAGATTAAAATAATCATGAAAGTTTATTAAATTCCTTCTTTTTTTATTTCATTTTTAATAGTAAGTTCACAAATATTCCTATTCCAGCCACTGGTGCTGCCACTCAAAGCATTTAGCTGTGCCTTGCATTCGGTACCTGAGCATATCGATTGCTGTGCAAGAGAAACAGCCATTCATAAACTGCTGCCTGAACATTTAACCTAATATCCCTCCCCCATTCTTGACAAAAATAAACAAAGCTAAGCTTTTAACGTGTTTCAGCAGAACGCTAATCCATAATGGTTTAAAGAGAGCTCAGCCGATCACGACTGCAAAGATAAACTGTTGAGCAGATTAAAGGCAGAAAGCAATTCTGTTCAGCTAAATCAGTTATGTAAGTTGGCCTACAACTGCAGCATTTCCCCAGAAATTATGGAAAGGTTCCCTTTCTGCTGCTGTTCATGTTCTCCAGGCTGTGCAGTAAGGTGATGACTGTATGGGGGGTTTGGTGGCTGTGTTAGAATGTGCGTGCGTGTGTTTGTGTGTGCATGTTTGCGTGTGCTGGGATCACCATCAAGCACAGCACAGCTACTGACAGACTCCAGAAGAAAGGATGGGGAATTACAACCACAAGGTTCTTCTTAACTTCCTTCAAGGTGATCCTCATTCACTAACTAGGGGGATCTCCAAGCTTCTCCAGGAATAATTCCATCTCCCAACTTGATTGTTTTTTCCAGATAGACCTTATTTTAAAGTAATGTAACATTTAAACAGGACTAAAAAGGAACAAAGTCACATTTCTGTGCTACAAATAGATGTGGAATGGAAATACCAATGTGTCTTCCTGGAGTCTGAAACAAGGCTGATGCCTTTTTGCCTACAAAGCCCAATTCAAAACCCCTTGAAATAAACCATTGACTTTGCTTGGTCCCGTATTGATTTGATCTCTGCTGAGGAAGGGCAAGCATTGCATAAGAAGAGAAGGATTTCTTTTCTGTCTTTGCAATATTAAAAAAGGCTTCTGTGTTTTTGTTGCTGATGGCAGCCATGGCCAGCAGCACTGCACCACTTCTGGCTGTTGCTTTGTTGTCAGGGTCACAGGGAAGATCCCACACTGTCCAGGATGGACAGTACTGTGCTGCCAAACCCCCCACTGTTTAATGCTGCTTATGGTCACCTGTGCTCTGCATTCTGGCTGCACTCCCTGCCAAAGGTGGTAGATCAGAAAGATGGGTCTTTCCCTCCACACTGGGGGAATCTGCCTGGGCCATACTTTTAGAAGCTCATTTCTCTTCTTGAATACATTTTAGACTCCAGTATGGAACAAAACACTTCTTCCTGCCCTGGTGCAGTTCAGTCACATCTTCAGGTGCACCTTTTCACTGCTGCCATGCGCCAGGATCCCTCAGTTGTGGACGAACACTAGGACACAGCTCTGCACAACAGCCAGGTCTTCTTGTGCCCTGCAGGCTGGTGTGGAGAGCAGGCTGTGACACCTGGCAGCCTACAAGGCAAACAGCAGTGACTAAGATGAGTGACTAAGAAACACTCAAAGCTCTGCTGCTGTTCACAGTTTACCTGTGCTTTAATTAAAGCATCACAGATCTGAATCTCACTGTGGTAGTTTCCTGCCTACCTGTTAGCACAACACTCCTCTCTGGGGAAGATGATCATAAATCCTGCTTGAGAACCTTAAAGGGGTAAAGTGGCAAAAATTCTAGGAATTCATTCTTCTGTTTAATTTCCTGCTCTGCCTTCTCCTTAGGTACTTTGGGATACGTGATAGTGAGGAGATGGTTCCTCCCAGGAAGCATTCCAGAGAGGAGGGTTCTGGTTCACACTCACTCCCTTGAGAGTACATCTGTGCTCCATTAGTCCTGGTGAACAGGATGATTGCAGAAGTCAAGCTGACCTAGAAAGGAGGGGGCCCAGAGATACAGTGATGTATTTGGGAATGAGTGCTCATCCCAGCAGGGTCTGCATCACTTGGGTGCAGGAGTGTGCTGGGCAGCCAGTGTGTTCATGCCTTCCTGGGGTCATTCTGGTCAGAGTCTGGAGAACTGTGCCTTCCTGGGCTGCAGTTCAGGGGTGTTTGGTGGTCCAGCTCACCTCTGTGCCAGTGGGAGCAGTGCAGGCTTGGAAAAAGAAGGCTGAAAAATGGCTGAGCTCTTGGAGGCCATTGTTGGGCTCCGTCTCGGCTTCTGTTTGCACAAATAGGAGAGAGGCATGATAAGAGCAGAGTGGGAGAGTCAGCATTGCATAACCATGATGTTACACTAAAGGTACGTGCAGCTGTGACCAGTCAAAGGGAGGAAGGGGGTTGCTGTAGGACCATAAAGTTCTGTCTGTGTCACCATGAGGGAAAGCATTTACATGCTGCTTGACCTCCTGAGTGCTCCTGAGGAACGATGCTGTTTAGATGCCAAAAGAGGGGAGCCAGACTGTCTTATTTCCTTTCTTCCTACGTGACAGCTTCTGAACTGGAATGAATCTTCATCAACATCAATAGAGGGAACAGAGAAACCTTGAATTAAACAGTGAAATAAAAATAATTGTCCTCACTGGTATCCAACTCTTTACCTGCATATCTCGCCCAGGAGATGTGTCCTTTTGCAGGCTGTTGTCCTCTGCTGCAGGGCAGCAGCTTTGAACTCTGAGGTTCAAACTGGCTGATACGCTGATAGGAGCAACCCCAAAGGCCAGCTGGGGAGACTGTCCTGTGGGGATCTCACTGTACCTTGTGTTTCCCCCTGGCTGCTAAGGTCAAGTGCCCACAAATGGGCCTCTCCTTGCTGTAAGTGATCCCTTCCCATCATCTCCCTGCTCCTGCCCTCAGACCCAAAGCTGACAGCCATACCAACAACATGCACCAGCTCTTCCTGCTGCTCCAAGCCCACTGAGATTGCACAGCCAGGCTTTGGGCAGAGCATTTTCCTCTCCTCTTTACTGGAGTGCAGGACAAGGGCTATATTTTGCCACGCTATCAGGAACTGGTACAGCTGACTGCTCCTGACCAGGCACCCTGCAGAGAGCAGCACATTTGAGCTGCTGAAGACCTCAGCCTGAAGTATTTCGGTGGGGGCTGAGTGGGTTGATGCTAAATTTCATATTCCTTTGTAGTTGTTAAGAGGGCAATTTGCATGAGTGGTTCCAGTGGAGCTGTGGAGCTCTCCCCAGAGGTCCAGATAGCTGCAGGATATGTCAGAGACCAGGAGCGAGTGAATTCAGAGCTGCTCTCCCAGAGGTGCAAGCTGAGTAGTCAAAGCTACATAAGGAGAAGAAGGAACCTTTTCCACCTCTTTCTAAAAGCTGATCCTGATTCACCACAAAGCCCATGTGCATGACTAGGTCTAGTCAGCTCAGAGAAACTGTTGCTTTAGCAACCTCCCTTTGTATTAGGCACTATGCAGGAAGGGGAAGTCTGCAGTGGGATTTTCCTCTCCCTCATGTTGCTTTGGGAGAGCTGTAGTCCCCCCCTCCTAACCTGAGTCAAAAATACATCTGCAGTAGTTTTGCCTACCATGTGTCTGCAATTCTGTGTGGCTGGTTCCTGGGCATGTGGAATGAAAGTTTGTGATGTCAAAATATTCTGAGCCAGAAGTTAATTCTACTTGAGGGGTGAGGAAGATGATGAAGTTGTAGGCTCTGATACTTCTTACACTGGTCTCCCATCCCCTTAGAAATTGTCCATAAAGTACCATTTCAGAATAATTAAAAGAATCAAGAGCCACTTGTTTGTATAAATCAGCTGAATTTGAGAACCAAATCTGCTTGGAGGAAGAAAGGGAAGTTTCTCGGGAAACTTCTTGCTTCAAGGGAAGCAGTAGCAGTAGTAAAGTGGAGAATTATTTCTTGGAGAAAGCTCTTCCTTTCCTGGCCTTTTGCAATAAAGGGGCATTTTCCCAGGAAATTCCAGATTCTCCTCTTGAAAGCTGTATATCAAAAATGCTCATTAGTGAGGATTTCAGCTCAATCAGGCTGTTTTAACAAAGGATGTAGGGTGGGATCTACAGCTGATGGAGTGGAAAGGAGGGAGGGAGAGGAAAAGAAGTCTGCAGTCAGCTCAACCTGTTGGATTACAGGTGCATCATGTCACACTGTTAGAGGAGTTCAGTATGGTTCAAATTATGCCAGCAAAATACACAGTGTAGTTACATATAATACAATAAAGAAGCACCCATTTCAGGATGTTACTGGACAAGAACATTGAAGAAGAGAGAGATTTGATTGCCTATGTTGAAAAATCAGGTTTAACTAAGAAACTAGCTACAGTTTCTACATGTTCTCTTGATGTGTTTTTGTGTCCTCTGTCAGATAAGGTGGAAACATGTAGGAAAATGGATAATACTTGAGTGGAATACAGAACCCACAAGCACGTCAATCTTCCCAGACAGAAGATTGACTTCCAGTTTTTACCACCCAGTGTTCTCAGGAGGAGAACATTGCTTCATTCCTTCATTGCTGACATTTCCTCACAGATCTTAACAGCCCTTTAAAGAGAGAGGAAAGTGCCCTTTTGCAGCAGGGTGTGCAGATATTTCATGGTTACATCTGATTACCAGCCTGCAGACACATGTCAGAGCAAGGATGGCAGCACTGGACTCCTTTAGGTTTTTACATGGACTATAAATGGCTCTGAATTCCCTCTGAAGGCGTTACACCCAGCCCTGTGCACTGCTGGCATCAGAGCAGCGCCAAGAGGCCCAGGTGGGCTGAGCACACAAACCTGCGGCCTGTCACAACTGAGACTAAATGTGTCCTGTGCACGACCAACCGTGCGGCACCGCAGCAAGCCCGGGCTTCCTCCTGCCTCAGGGACACTGCTGGCTCTTAAGCATTATCCCTTGGAGCACCTTCTGCTCCCAAGGGAAACGAGAGCTCAGTTCCCCTCAGACTTTGTACCTTTGCACCTGCCACTTCTGTGCCACTTCTGACAGAGCTGTAGTCTTAAGAGTCAAGGTACAGCGTGCTTGCCTAGGAAAAGAAAACACAGTTCTTCCTCATGGTAAATCTCTGTGTGAGACAGGATTTCTGCTTCATAAGGAAATAGTTCCTCATTTCTCATGCAGTTTGACTTTGATCTTGCAAACATTTACTAAGAGAGGGGAATGGATTTGCAGAATGGCTGTGGCAGGAGATTGGAAATAACCCACGGCTGTTGTGAGAGCATGGTGATATCTCCATGTTGGGGAGCTGCTGGCTGCCTGAAGAAAGAGCAGGTTTCTTAAAGAAGGTAAAGGGATTTCATGCCCCAGCTCCTACTGACTTTTCTTGTTTTTTTCAGTGGGATTTCAACACATCTCCCTTGATCACCCACCTTGGCTTCTTTGGGAATCGCACAGCACCATGCTTCTTTCAAAGGCTGATGCATGAGGGGATTGTGCAAGGCAGTAGCAGAATGAAAAACGGGACCTGGCGTCCCAGATCTTCTCACAGCTCCTTCTTAAATAACAGTGCTCTCCTAATGCTCAGCAAGAATCTCCTCCAGAGCAAAATTCTCACATGGCAGCACCTCAGTGCCCACAAGTTCTTACAGTACCTGGATGCAAATACAGTTAGATAATGTCTTGACTCATGTCACTACTCATTACCAAATCAGAGCATGCAGCCATATCAATGCTTAATGATCTTCTGAAACTTTAATTCATTTTACACTGTAGCCATTTTCATTAATTAGCTGCATTAATTTTATACAGATTAAAAATGTAAGTCAATCTCTTTGAAGTAGAAAAGTGGCATTTTAAAATCTACATTCTATCCCAAGCCTATAAATACATCTGCCTTATAGAAATCAGCTGTTTATGGTAGTTCTTATAGCAGAGAGGGTGACTCAAAGAGGCTTATGTGCTGCATTAGTTTTATCAGAGCTGAAAAAAACCTCACAAATTCCCTGTGAATTAGAAGGATCAGAGACTATAGATAG